AATCTACAAACATAATTAAGTTTATTTGAATTTTAATTAGGACTTGATTGTGAAACATGTTTTGTTCCAAGTCCATAGCTCAAACTAAATATTGCTTACTGAATTTCGGATGTTTCGGAAATCATTATCATTATCAGCGTTTGGATGAGTAAACTTGACCCTGGAGATCAAATTCAATCTGTTCTTCCTTGTTGTTATTTTTGTTTCGTATTGTTTTGTCAAACAATTTGCCTCAAAATTTTAAAATGTATTGTAATTGAATGTGTAGTTAAAGTGAATTTATGTATTTTAGAGTTAATTAACACTAGTGTACCTGTTGCTCGAATTCGAGCAATTGCGAAGCATTACAGGCGACTCAAAGATTATGGAAATACAGTACTCACAATCTACACAACAGTTAGATATAATAAAAATCTTTTGTAAATATCTTATCTTTAAAAAAAAAGCTAATCTTGTTTTTTTAGTGTTTTAGACAAATTTTTCCCTCTCATAGCCGCATTAGGCTGTCTATGATAACGATTATAAATAAAAAAAAAACATTATTTCTATTTCTTCTACTTGGTTGTGTTCTATGACTTTTTCTATGTTTCCATTGTTTGCAAATCGGTTATTTCAATGATTGCTCAAGAAATGTAGAACAGTGTTAATTCAGTTTTATTTTTAGCCAAAATCAAATTGTCCAGGATTTCTCGCTCTTTTCCATTGTAATAATTACACCGACCCAAGTTTCGTCTACAGATGCAATATGCCAACGAATATCACCTACGTACAATCTCCAAAGAAGTGGTAAAAAAGGCAGAAACCAACCCATACAATAGATATAAGTTAACTCCAAAAGAAATAATTTTAAGAGTTACTGTGATATTACGATTTTCCACTGATTTGGTAATAGAACATTATATTGCAAAACATGACACGATGCAGAAGAAAATCCATTTTAAAATCAGAAAAATCCATTGCAAATACTGTGCTTCATTTTGACAAATTCAATAAATCACAATTTAAATATTAACAGCTGTTTCATTAAAAAGTAGTGTAATTATGCATATGGTCGTAATGTAAACAAATCTGAAGAGGCAACTTTAAAGGCTTCTGGGGCAGAGCCCCAAGGGAATTTACCTCGTTTCTCTTTTGAGGGCTCACCTACAGACCAATACCTTTCTTTAGACACCCCTACCAAGTTTCTACGCCCAGCCGTTCTCTCAAATTAGCTGTGACAAAAACCTCGTTTTCCTCCATAAGAATAACATGGGATGGGAATTTAAAGGCCACTGGGGCAGAGCCCCGAGGGAATTCTTCATGTTTCTCTTTTGATGGCTCATCTACAGACCAGGACCTTTCTTTAGACACCTCTACCGAGTTTCCACGCCCAGCCGTTCTCTCAAAATAGCTGTCACAAAGAAAAACAGTTTCAAATTAATATATAGATTGTGAAAATTGTTTGTATACTCGATGGACGTTGACAAAATACAGTGGCGTAGAAAACACAAATAAACATAGAATAAACAACACGTTACTAACACAAAATTATACCTATAACTACTAGTAGTGAACACAAAGCTTATAGTCGAGAGATAGTTTGGTTGCCATACATAGTAGATATGGTTAGTAACTTCCCTTCCTATACTACCCTCTAGAGGCTATAAGCACATTAAATTATGGCAGCACCGCAAGATATAAGCCCCAGCCCTGCAAGGGTTAGCCACAACGATGAGGGGCATTCTACACCGATCCTAACTCAACTCTAAATACAACAGAAACCTCAAAGTTTGTAAACTCAACATCTGGAACAATAACTTGAAATATAAACAGTCTTTATTGTTTTAGGCAGTTGGAAACTATTGAGTTTAGATGCACTCGAAGACGTTAAATTATTGGTTACATAAATTGCTTCGTTGAAGTAGGTTGTAGACAAATAAAAATGTATTTTAATAATATTTATCGCATGTTATAATGTATTGTGTCTTCACTACTATTGCATTGCGAAGGGGACCGATGCTGCTTATTTTTACTTGAATATGACTCACAAACTAACAAGAAATAGTAAACTTCAAAACACACTCAGGCCCAAGTACGATTCATCTACAAAGGATTCTGTTGTAGAAGTATCGGTAGTACACAATGGAGTATTCATGATTGAGAACCATCATGCATAATCATAGCTCTGTTAATATTATATCTGACAGTCTGAAACGAAAAAAAGTGGGGGATGGTTAATTTAATTGAAAAAGTTGAGCCTCAACTGAACTCCCCGCACAGTAACTTTATATTACGTTACATTGACTTGTGACAGTGAAACATGTGACCAAGCTTTCGTAGGCTTATAAAAAACAATAAAAACGGACAAAAAATCTACGGACTTTATTTCACCATGCATTTATGCCTGTTTTGCTGGGATGATGGAATGTAATAGATACATTTTCAGGCACATGTAACAGTTTTGTATAATGGAATAAAAAGTAATTTTATATGAATAAATTTTGTTTTACAATCCCAAGCGTTCAGAGTTTGTCAAAACTTTTTCATAAACGCACAATTATTATTCACCTGGGAAATATTACAAAAAATAATTTTCATAAAATTTTTAGAAAAAGAAACTTCCTACACTACTGTGAAATAACCTGTTTCCGTAATATATTTATCACCTGTGAGAATTCACTAGTTGTTTACTACGCAAAAAGTATGTTTAGTATGCAAAAGTAATGTATACTATAGGTTTTGATTTTCCACTCTTGTTATGAAATATACTATTACCCAACGTCAATCATGAAAAAGGCCAATAGCGTTATGATGGTTTCGAGTCCAGATGTTCTTGGCCAATGGACTTTTAACAAATGATCTTGGAAAAAGGAACAGTTGAAATCAGCTGGGCAGGATGATGAAGGCGTCAACGAAGTCACACAGATGATTTTCTACCCACGAATACTAGAAAAATACCGGTATGGATCATAAACATAAACAAATGACGTTGTTGGCCCGATTCCAATACTGAATAATACTAATAGCATTGAACATATGTTTTGGCAGTTCCATTTAAGCAATGTTAAATAATGTTTATTTTCGGGCCAAAAACGTCATTTGTTTACGGATCCATACCGGTATTTTTCTAGTAATCGTGCTTCTACCTAAAACTCCTCCTACATTCATATTAAGCTCAAAATCACATCGGTATTTCGGCTAAAAGTAATGATAATGTCCAAGTGAAATTATAAATTCGCTATTTATTTGTTTTCCAAATAAATATACAATTGAAGTGCCATAAGAAGCTTTCTAATCCTTAAACGAGTTATTCTGAATCACTAAATCCCATTACAGCTACAGTCCTGAAACTCTCTACGGCTAAGTGAATCCCACCTCAGAGTGTTGACTAAATGTTTACCGTTGTAGAGTGGAGACTGCGTTAAGTGATCATTAAACATTGGAAGGTACAAATTACTCGTGTATAAACACTCAAGCTCTCACACTCTCACTGAGGAATCCGTCCAACATTTAAATCATAAGCACTAGATACGCTGTGGATAACATTATTCAAATTACGAAAATTCTTTCTAATACACCACAATAGTATAAATATTTCAGATGGGATGTAAATAATTAGATAATAAGGACGTGTCAATTAAACCAACATATTAATAAGGTTAGCTGCCATTCAATAGATTTGTTCATCCAAATTATACATAGACCATTTGGAAAATCTACGTTTATGCAAAATAAAGAAAACTCCAGTTTGTAAACCTTTTAGTTGGGTTTCAGTTAATAGGTCAAAACGATAGCGGTTAGTTAAGGCCTAAGTCCTAGGCTATTTCTCATCTCTGGCAATTACCCGTGTTTGAATTAAATAAAAAAACAAAGATATCATTAATATTAAATTGTTTACAATTACAAAATAAAAATGCTAATTTATTCGTCTACTGATAGCAAAGATATTTTAAAACACATTTTAACATTTAATATTTTTACATATTTTAGACATAAAAAAACTCATTAGATTTCGCACTAGCCTAAAATATGTACAAGCTGATTCTATTTTTATGTATTTATTGGATAAAGATTTGTTCAATTAAAACTAACAATAAGACCCCCCAAATTATAGGAAAATCCGTAGTTTCCAAGTAAAAAGGATTGATTTTCAACTTGTAACACTATAACAATTATACATATTATTATTTATTTTTTATTTTCCTTCGTTATCTAAGCTGTCACCGAAATAAGATTGGAATATTGTTCGACGATGGTTTGGACTAGATAGAATAATCATAAAAAATATAAATGCAGGGTAATGCAGGTTTTTCAGATAACATTCATTCAAATCGCGGATTAGTGATGGTAATACACGAGAAAATAATATAAAATCGTAAAATTTGATGTATTAGGCCTATACGGCAAAAGGAATTATGGCAAAAAAACTTAAGAACAAACAAAAACATCATTGATAATACGTTTTACAATCTTGGCGTGAAAATAATGCCAGACATTAATCAGAAAAATACAATGTACGAAACCAGTTCAATGTCTGAGCTGAGAGATATCCGAGGCCATTTTTAATCTCTTGCGTCTTTATTAGAAAAAAATATCCTAAAAATAGGTTCATCCGGATATTACAATAAACATTGAAACCAAACAGCATTGATATGATCATATTATGTTTTTACATCTCTAGCAAAATTTGATGTTTTCGTTTTCCTCGTATTTAATTAGCTAATAAAAAATATTTGAATATCTCGTGGTCAACATTTAAAATATATTCTCATCAAAATAATGTTATAAAATGTATGCATCACCTGGGTAGTAGTTGTGGAGACTGTAGTATTTCACGGTTGCAAATAAACTACAGTATCATCAACACTAACAGCCTAAACTATGGGAATAAATTTATAAATATCTTTATTTAATTGGGTAAGTACTTAACACAGTAGGTATTCAGTGTTTTTGACAGTGAAAAAATAAATATTTTGATATGGAAATCTTTAGGAATAAATGACATGGATAGATACAGTAGATGAAATATAAAACATTTTATTTGATACTTATTTACACTTGGCAGTTAATAAATATAAACATTTACATAACTTTACAAATTTACAATTATTTACACTCGACAAAGACAAAATAGGACCATGTACAATATAACTACTTTAAAATAAAGTTACAATTAAAAACATTTTTAGTGATTATGTAAACAGTTGCAAGTTGCTTTACAGCTATAGTATGCCGATAAAAATACTATTTAAAGTAGTAGAGTCAATGGTAGTAGGTAAAACATTAACTGAAAGATGCAGTACTTCGTACCTGTTACTCTAGTGCTTGTGGCTAGTAATTTCAATAAAGAACAGTACATTGAACTCGTTGTTCTAGAGCTAGTACTTGTATTATATCTAGAGATAAAAGTTAGACTCTATAGAACAGTTGCTCTGTACCAGTAGTAAATAGAACCGGTTATAAAGAATTTTCGACCAAATTTGTTTTGTACTTGCTAGAAGTAGTACCCTAATAAAATTTACCCAAAAAGTTTAGTTCCTTTAGAGCTATTTGTGTAACAGGTTACTTTATAGCTCTGATACAACAGTTGGTCTTAATCAATTAAGTAATATACATATCAGAAAAGCTCCGTCAGGTCAACTCATTTCCCTTTCTCTCGTTAGTGACCATGTTTTGTCATCACAGAATCGAACTAGTATACACTTGGTTTCCTCTGTGGGTTACCCCATTGCCTCCTCTAATACAGGGCCGCGGGGAGAAAAAAGTGGCAACGCCGCAACCCTGGCCTACTGAAAGTGTGTTATTAGTGTTATTGGCATAGCAACAGGCCGGCCGGAGCGACGTTGCCACACTTCAACGCTGCAGTTTAGGAATAGGCGGCTATGGTTACACTCACAAAATGCCTAAGCCAACCGTTCACGCATAGTAATCCTCGATAAACACAATCTCCCATTCCTTCTCCTGGTCCAGCTCGGTGACGTAGTAGTACACATATTCATGTGTCTGGTGAGGAGTCAGCTGCACATCACCAGGGTAGTCCAGGTAGCGCAGACAGTAATGCTGTCTCCAACCCAGAGAGCGAGCCAGTCTCGCCGTATACTCGCTGGTACAACACGTCCTGATCGCCTGGTGACCTGCCTCCCTGGCTTGTCTGACACTCTCCTCCGCCAGTCTGCGGGCGACTCCTCGTCGTCGCCACTCCCTGTGGACCGCCAACACTCGCAGCTCTATCGTCTTCTGTGGCAGCGTGTCTAGCCGCGCCTCCACCTCCACCCAGTCCATGAACTCTATCATCTGCAAAATCATGGGAAAACAGAACAATAAGACTTCAGGCAAACCAGTTCAACAACATATTCTGTTAGACTAAATTATGACAAATCATGATGGTAGATGGTTTAGTTGAACAATGGACTTAGGGTCACCGAAGTCTCGTTTTTAAATCCCTCCAATCACCAGTTGATTTTATCCGAGTGATAATTCTGTGACTCTCTAGGCCTAGCGTGAAGTAATGTGTAAAACGGGTTAGAACCTATAATCTTAGGATGTGAGGGCACAAAAATACATCCCACGTTTGTAACACTTGCACGATTGGCAATCACGTGTATACATACTTAGTTCAGAGTAAAGAAATCAGTGAATACCTGTAGTAGATTCATTGTCTGCTTTATAGTTGGACAATAGAAAAGCGACATGTAGCTTGGATTCACTGTAATGATTTAGTTGGAGGCATTTTCTTATTGATTAGTTAATTGATTTCCACAACTAACAAATAAAAAGGTTGACGTTATAAACTTTGACGTAAGTTGCGATACTTGGCTTTAAACTAACTGTTCTCTTTCCAAAACTTAAATTAATGTCAATAACTCAGAAAGAACAAAAAAAAATTAACTACCGTAAATAATATTGTTATGTTTTGAGAAAAAATGTTCTAAAATCTCTTGTCACACTAAAAAATATAAGTTAAACAACTAAGCTTGTCTATGGTTTAATTCTAAAACACCTCTTACCTCCAGCATTTTTGATTTCTTCAAATGAACTTGACCGCCAAAACTGTTTTGCTGTTTATGACGAAAGTTATACTTGTCCTAAAACAACAATTAGGAAAAATAAGTAAATAATAATTTATGTTACATAATTATGAAATAGAATATGTTGTCAGAAATTTAAATTGGGAGTCTTTTATCTAGTTTTTGCCCATAATCGTTTAAGTGATGTATTATTATTACTTACTCCTACAGTCTTAACAGATATTTGCTTGTGTTTTAAGCAATATCATGTCGCTTCTGCTACAGTTTATGTCAAAAAGGGCCATTCTAAAAAAGTTAGTAATGCAAATATGCACAAAAAACAGCTAACAGTTCTGAAAAGAGGTAAAGATGTTACCGTACTACAATGTTACTTACTCTCAGTTTTTACATGTTTAGTCTTGAGGTTACCGATTTTCTCAATCTCTGAGGGGAGACTAGGCTATAACTTTCTTAACTTCTTGGAGGGGGGGGGGAGGGATGTGGAGTAAAAAATTTGTTTCACATTCTGAAGGTGTAAATTAATAGCTATTTGTATACGTTACATGTTACGCAAGAGCTTGTTTACATCACTTAGGAGAATTATGCAACTCGCTACCGCTCGGTGCACAACATCGCCCAACATTCGCCTACGTGATGTAAAAACACCCTTAGTACACTTGTAATGTAAATTTACTAACCTTTTTATCTTCCAGGGTGTCCGAAGCCAATGGACGACAAGGTGGGATGATTCTGTTGATAGCGACACCAACAATATCACCCTGGTTGTTCTGAGCCATGACACAGAAGTCTCCCTTCTGCTGGGCTGTCTCTGTCTGCGGGGGCGTGGATTCGCGCGGTGGCGGGAGATCCTCCACGCCGAACACTCTGATCAGTGGCATGTCAGGGAGGAAGTGTTCCCGGACAAACTCGTCCACTCTCATCTTATCTTCGGGGGTTGTAGCCCTCAATAGGCTGTAGTCCATCTGTAGAACATACCATATAGTTAAAGACTGCTTTACCTGGGAATGGTAATGAAGGTCAATCCTAGAAGATATTAGTCGTAAGGTGTTCCTAAAGGGTTTCATCATTGACTATTGGAATATTCAAAGGTTTAGTTTTCAATGTACTGTATAGAAGAGACATACTATTTACGTAAGAAGTGATTTATAAACTACTAGAGTCGTATAGCCTATATGTGGACTATAAAAACCTTTTCGTCATACTGCGGCAAATACCGTTTTTAAAGCATGCGTTGCGGGCCTAAAGTAGCATTTTTACTCTCTAAGGAAGGAAAATAGTTTTAGCCCCTAGGGAGAAAACATCAGCTGTTGTCAACTTAGTTGTAAATTTCAATTGTAAACAAAATTCTAAGTATCGAAAGTATGTATCGATTAATTAATCGGTTGCTGTAAATTGTTGCCTTAGTGCAAATCGTTCGACATATCGATAGTATAATGTACACTAACACAATCGAAACGATTGAATCACTTACTAAACAGCTGCTTGATTCATTAGCAAATTAAAATGAAAACAATCTAGAAGTAGTTTTGAGAGGTTATCTTTAAATGAAAACTATTTTAGTGTTGTAACAAAGTTTGGTCAAATAATGGTGCAATATGACGAAAATAAAGTTCATCAAACGGGCGAAAAGTGTCTTTTCAACCCTCTTCAGACTTCGGCTTCACCTCAATCGTAAAACTTGAGTGAATGGTCGCATGAATACCAAAATGTTGAGGTAAGTTACCTAGTACAGATAAGATAAATGAAATGCAATTATAAAGTTATTACTAGACCAATGTGATCTCCTCTCAACTCAATGTACAGTATCCGTTCTGCTCAAGAGAGTAAGTTAGCAAGATTTTGCAAATTAATGTGAATAGCATGCTAAATTATGCATACTTTATACCACTACAAAATGTATTCCAAACAATGATCATAATCCGACTTTTCAAGATAAAATAAAAATATAACAAGAAAGCTATGAAATATAACTATTGGAATGAACAATGTTTACTTACTTCTGCCGCCTTAACACCACTCGTACGTCGTTCTTGAGTAAACACAACATTGAACTGAGCCAAAGTAGTGCCACAGTCACTGATATAACACTGAACTGGCCTGATAACACTTCCTACTGGACCTTGAGTGTTGCACCTTATCACAAACGTTCACAATCAAAGTGACTTAGTCATGTGAGGGATTGGTCAATCCGCCATGTGATCTTGCCATGTGACTAAATAATTTGAAAAACACCGGACGGGATATAATCCAAACCTAGGCGCCATTGGTTGGTGGGCTATTAAATAATGATCTGACAAAAGACCTATCTGACAAATAGTCGACGTTAGAACATTAGGGTGTGTAGCGTTCCCTTACAGATGACGTAAAATGTTCTTATGAAGTAGAAAAAGAAACTCATAAGGATAGTCCAACAAGTCTGAGGATCCATCCTATTGTAAAATATAATATAGTCACAATATCAAAATTCATAATAGCTCACAGTGTGAGAAAAACGTAATGATAAATTTGGTTTATCTTAATATATAAAATTCTCGTGTCACTTTACTTAATACTTTACTCACAGTGTTTGTCTGCAAACTCCTCCGGAACGACTTCATCGATCATTATGAAATTTGGTGTGTAAATTCTGTAGGTATGCGAATCGGACGTAAACTATTTCCCGTTTCGAAATTCTTAAAAGGGCTCCGCCCCAGTGGCTCTGGAGTTTCCTATGTTAACCTTATGAGAAATGGAATTAATGAATCTTAACAGCTGTTTCAATTAAACAAGTTGGTTCTGTTCTATGATGTTAAATAGCATTAAAGTTACAAGGATTACCAACAGGGTGCAGCACTATTATTTCTTTTACATTTATGACAACAGCTAATTTGCAACCAAAAGGTGAGTGAGCGTAGCGAACGAACTTCAACCTGGAGTCGAGTGAGCGTAGCGAACGAGCTAACCTGAAGGCAAGTGAGCGCAGCGAACGAGCTCCAACCTAAAGGTGAGTGAGCGTAGCGAACGAGCTCCAACCCAAAGGTGAGTGAGCGTAGCGAACGAACTTCAACCAGGACGTGATTGAGCGATGCGAACGAGATCATCTTGAAAATTAAACGTAACGGTACTTTCTTTCCATCGGTCTGTCTTAGGGGAAACCTATAACTTAGGCAATACGAAGTTCGCCGGGTCAGCTAGTAATATTATAAAATGTGATAATGAAACCCAATAAATTTTTAAGTTGCATAATTTGTCTACACATGTTTGTTATAAAGAAAGTTTTAGTCCACCCTCATGTTAAACAGCTATATTCTGGAAAACACTTTTCTGTTGCTCAATAACTTCATCTATAAATTCTCAACTTTTTGATTTTATAATTTTACTTAGAACCATGAAAAGATTAACTAATATGATTTAAATCCTTGACGTAGATGTAGAAATTGTTGTGAGGTGGGATAGGAACTAACTGGACACCTGTCCCGGACCGTTTTGGATAGTCTTTGTACGCCAGGTGGTTGTGCTCCCGCCACCCCGCGCTTCTAGCAGCTTTTGTCGCGAACTCGCTGGAGCAGCAGACGACGATATTGTTGAACTTGGCCTCTTTAGCAACGCCCTCAGCCTCCAGTACGAGCCTTTTTGACACTCCTTTCCCCCGGCACTCCTTGGCCACTGACAACACCAGCAGTTCTATGGTTCTGCCTGGAAGATCGTGGAGTTTGGCGTCTTCTTCGGCGAAGTTCAAGAAGTCCACCATCTGAAAGTGTCATTATGGCGTGAACAGCTGACTATGATAGTAATTTTGTACATACTGTGTGATCTCATAAACGATTTATCACTGTAAAGAACTGTAGATGACTCATTTGCTATAGTATTTCAGTTTTGTCGCGAGAAACTCGTTTTTCATGGATTTATGGTTGTCGAACCTATAACGTGTTGTACCTACAGTTCTCACTGTGGTAACGGAATTTATCACAAAGTTTGAAAATTACAATGCTGTACCTGTTGTTGCAAAAATATATAACTGATCACTATATTGATGGCCGTAATAATAAATAAAAGAAGAAAACCAGGTAAAGCTACAAGCCTACAAACAAATGATAGCTGTAAAATTAGTGTTTATTGCACTGAGATAAAAAAAACACTGTACTAATCACAAAAAAAAACTGCTCTCACTTACCTTATTCCACTCAGGAGAAGTGTTGACGTTCAAATCGAACGTGACGGAGTCTTTCAGGATGGCAATACCTAGGACTGTCCCCTGGGAGTCAACCGCCTGGAGGTAGACGATGGTACTGCCAGGGGTCGGTCCGTGCGGGGAGGCCGTTTTTCCGTACACATCTACACCGAAGGCACACATCAGCGGCATGGATGGAAGAAACTTGTGCTGGACCCAGTCGTCAATCTCAGCTATACTCTCTGGTCCTATCCTGCGAACGGTGAACTCCATCCTTTGTCGGATTGTGGAGCTAAGGACAGGAAAGTTATGTTATATGGCTCTCAAGGTGCAGTTTCACATGATATAGTAAAGACAAATGCAATCAAGTACCTTAGTTCATCAAATTTCTGCCAAGTTTTGGGGATAAGATGGAAATCGTTGCTTATTTAAGACAATCTGTAAAAATATTGATACTGTACAAATTTATGTAAACATAGAACCAAATACATAGTACCGATGATTTATTCTTCTAAGCTGGCCATCTTTAGTTGGTGCGAAAGTTCAATACAGTTCAATTCAATTTATTTCCACGGTAACACCATTTTGTAAATAGGTACAGTCAGTAAGTAAGCTATAAAACTAAAATTATTAACAACAAATAAAGGCTACGACTGAATAAATAACAATAACAAGAGAAACAAATCAACAATTAAGATAGAAACCATGATACATTTTGTGAAACAATAACAAAACAACACTCAAATACACGGTTTAGATTTCCCTAAGCAAGACTTAACATGACAAAAAAGATCTAAATATTTAAATGACAAAAATAAATCAGCTGATCGAAGGTTGAACACAGTGCCGTTAACACATGCGGGAATTTCTTAAGTTGCATAATTTGTCTACACATGTTTGTTATAAAGAAAGTTTTGGTCCACGCTCATGATGAACAGCTATATTCTGGAAAACACTTTTCTGTTGCTCAATAACTTCACCCATAAATTCTCGACTTTTTTATTCATCATTTTACTTAGAATTATGAAAATTTATCTTTTATGATTGAAATCCTTGACATAAATGTAGAAGTGGTTGTGAGGTGGGGTAGGAACTAGCTGGACACCTGTCCCGGACCGTTTTGGATAGTCTTTGTACGCCAGGCGGTAGTGTTCCCGCCACCCCGCGCTTCTAGCAGCTTTTGCCGCGAATTCGCTGGCGCAGCAGACGACGATAGAGTCAAACTTGGCCTCCTTAGCAACGTCCTCAGCCTCCAGTACGAGCCTTCTGGCCACTCCTCTCCCCCGACTCTCCTCGGCCACTGACAACACCAGTAGTTCTATGGTTCTGCCTGGAAGATCGTGGAGTTTGGCGTCTTCTTCGGCGAAGTTCATGAAGTCCACTATCTGAAAGTGGTATTATAGCGTAAACAGCTGATTATGCTTGTAATTTTTTACATACTGTGTGATCTCATATTAAACGATCTATCACTGTAAAGAACTGTAGATGACTCATTTGCCATCGTATTTGAGTGTTGTCGTAAGAAACTCGTTTTTATGGATTTATGGAACGATCTTATAACATGTCAAGGTATACCTGCAGGTCTCACTATAGTGACGGAATTTATCGCAAAGTTTAAAAACTACAATGCTGCACCATTTGATGCAAACAAATTGAGATAAATTATCAAGAGATATGTCGTAATGGCATAGAAGAAAACATGGAAAACTACAAGGTAATTAAAATGCTCAACTGAAGAAATATTGAATAAAAGGTATAAAATATATGAAGTTTGTTGATTAAAATGCTTAATATACTGAGATTATTCCAAACAATGCAATAATCACATGAAAAGCTGTTCTCAATTACCTTATTCCACTCAGGAGAATTGTTGTCGTTCGAACCGAACTTGACGGAATCCTTCAGGATGGCAATGCCTAGGACTGTCCCCTGGGAGTCCACCGCCTGGAGGTAGACGACGGTACTGCCAGGGGTCGGTCCGTGCGGGGAGGCCGTCTTTCCGTACACATCTACACCGAAGGCACACATCAGCGGCATGGATGGAAGAAACTTGTGCTGGACCCAGTCGTCAATCTCTGCTATACTCTCAGGTCCTATCCTGCGAACGGTGAACTCCATCCTGTGTCGGAATCTGGAGCTGCAATCAAGTACCTCAGTTTATCAAATTCCCACCAAGTTTTGAGGATAAGATGGAAATCGTTAGTTATTTAAGAGAATTAGGTCGCGTTATTTTTTTTAAATATTGATACTGTACAAATTTGTATAAACATAGAACCAAATACATAGTACCAATGATTTATTATACTAAGCTGAACACGTTTGGCTGGTGTGATAATTCTTAACTATAGGTGGAAGGTTTGACGAAGCCATCACAATATTTTATAAGCGATCGTCGAGTCTTACATTTTTAAAGAATTTGGTCTCTTTTACTATACATTTGACCACCCGCATGGGCTACAGAGGCATTTGCAGGGAACGTATCCAGCAAAGCAAGGGGATGAGCCGGTACAGTACCAGGGTGACTGATAAAATCCGGTAAACTGTAACTTACTGATAAGAAGTACTGTAGTAGGTACCGTACCGAACCCACGACATCGCCTTGGGCTCGATATCCGTGGCGCTACCGACTGAGCCACCGACTCATCAATACGAAATGAAATGAACAACACTAAATATAAGCAATAGATTTTAAAACGAAAAAAATGGGAGAAAGAGTTAACTTAGTGATAAGACTTACGCTGTTCTACATGCACTCGGTCCCACAACACTGGTTACCGTCTTAATCCAAACATTCTGACGTTGTTTACATACACATCGTCAACAGATCAGCTGTAACACCTTCCAGCTGTTTGGGCTTCGTGGTTGTTTGTAACAGAACTAACACATAACATAACAGCTGTTATGAGGATACAAGTCACTTTAAGCCAAATGTAACCGCTCCGTGTATGTAACACTTCTAGAAAGCTACGCGTACGTCTGATTGGTAACATACACCATCACAATATCATAGCTTCTTATTTTTAACAAATATCAGCACAATAAAAAGCATTTTGTTTGTAACACATACCAGCACAATATCAAAACTTCTTGTTAACAAAAATTCAGTACAATAATAAGGCATTTTGTTTGTGACACATACCAGCACAATATCAAAAGTTCTTGATTGTAACACATACTAGCACAATAATAAAGCATTTTGTTTGTAACACATACCAACACAATAGCAAAGCTTCTAGTTTGTAACTCATACTAGCACAATATTAAATCATCTTGTTTGTAACACATACCAGCAGACTATGAAAGCTTCCTGTTTGTAACATATGTATACCAGCACAATATCAAAGCATCTTGTTTTTAAAACATTACAGTACAATAATAAGGCATTTTGTTTGTAACACATAACAGCACAATATCAAAACTTCTTGTTTGTAGCATATACCAGCACAATATCAAAGCATCTTGTTTTTAAAACATTACAGCACAATAATAAGGCATTTTGTTTGTAAAACATACCAGCACAATATCAAAACTTCTTGTTTGTAACATATACCAGCACAATGTCAAAGCATCTTGTTTTTAAAACATTACAGCACAATAATGAAGCATTTTGTTTGTAACTCATACTAGCACAATATTAAATCATCTTGTTTGTAACACATACCAGCAGACTATGAAAGCTTCCTGTTTGTAACATATGTATACCAGCACAATATCAAAGCATCTTGTTTTTAAAACATTACAGCACAATAATAAGGCATTTTGTTTGTAACACATAACAGCACAATATCAAAACTTCTTGTTTGTAACATATACCAGCACAATATCAAAGCATCTTGTTTTTAAAACATTACAGCACAATAATGAAGCATTTTGTTTGTAACTCATACCAGCACAATATCAAAACTTCTTGTTTGTAGCACATACCAGCACGATATCAAAGCTTCTTGTTTGTAAAACATTATAGCACAATAATAAAGCATTTTGTTTGTCAAACATACCAGCACAATATCAAAACCTTTTGTTTGTAACATATACCAGCACAATATCAAAGCATAAACCATTACAGCACAGTACCGGTAATAAAGCATCTTGTTTGTAGCACATATCGGCAGGAGAAAAAGTTTTACTAGTTTGTAAATTGCAACACTTGCCCTTTGAACTTACTCGCAGTTGTGTGAACGTGTTTGTTTGTCTCGCAAAATAAATAAACATGTCTGACTTGTACTCCCAAATACGCCTGATGTTCATAGGTTTGTCTCAAATTTGAGCGGCAGCCAATCATAGATCACAACTATTTTATGATGAACTTGTAAGTACTTTTAAGCTGTTTTTATAAACGGCACCACTGGAAATTAGTGTCCAAAAGCAAACTACTGTCCTCGTTTCTAGAGTATTGTTGGTGAGAATCTTTCTGACTCAGAATTTACGACGAGGATATAATTATAACTGTCGTAGGACCATAGATAATTTAATTATTTATGGATGGTTTACATTTCCTCTAACTGCTACATGACGTGTAATGAAATGGTTAAATGAGCCATGTTATTAAGTTCTCTTTTAAAATTGATAAAATTTAAGTACAATATACTGCAGTTATGTACTTTTTACGGGCGGCTAGATACTATTAAACAAGGTTCAAGTAAACTGTATGTTGAAATGACTTTCCTAAGGAGTTCCAAATTTGAACTGGCAATCTTCAGTTACACTTTACTGGACAGAGTCTAAGAGTGGTGTAAAAGATTATACGCTTTGATGAATAGTAGTTTAGTTTAGTTTTCTGACAAAACTGTTTCCCTTTTCCACTACTGTTTATCAGGACAAGAACTTTTATTGAAATTTAATTATGATTGTTATGGTTAATTATGGTTAGAAATAAAAACAAGATATTTTAACGTGAACACCAAACTAAAAGTAAGAGTTATGAAAAAAAAAAAAAAACTAACATTGAAACGACTTGGGTATCTTGTGGTTTCACTTACCTTGGAAATAGACTAGCAGTATCCAAGTCAGCTGATTCTATGAGGCTATAGAGATAATTCACAAAATGTCAACAGCCACTTCAAGGTAATTAAGTTTAATCCTCATCGATGAGAGTGGGAGAGACAGAGAGAAAGATAGAAAGTGTGCGAGTGTGTGTGTGTTATGCAAGAACCAGTGTGTTAGTGAGAGAGCAGAACAGGTAACGCATGTCACTACGGTAACAGGTGACTGGCGATAGTTGATGTGGTACAGGTTATCCTTGGACGGCCGGTAGCGGTGACTCGCACAAACAAACAAACACACTCACAAACACACGCACAAACACACGGAGGTAAACACTAATGACACTAACAATAGACACACACACAAAGAAACACTAACTGAAAAATAAATTATGAGTTCTTCATTATCATTTGACGTAATTCCTTTTAAGAACCCACAATTTTGGCTTCCAACCTTTACATTCGAGAAGTTCGGTTGAAAAGTGCACAAAAAACATTTTAATGCTCGCACACGCAGAATGGATACACATTATGATGAATAGGGTCTACCAAAAAGAAGGAAAATATCGATGTGAAAATAATGAATACTTTGGATTGTGCCGGTACAGTAGAAAGTTCCATTCATGTACCTGTTTAACATAATCGGAGATTCATCAAAGTAGCTATTATTAATAATTAGCCCTTAATGAGTTGCTGAACCAGAAAAATCAGGTTATAAAAATAATTCCCACATTATTGTCGTGGAGGAAAAGTAAACTGTTGTAGTTTAATTGTTTATTCATATATTTTGACCAAGTTTGACATACCTATTTATTCCATACTACGGTACATTATTAAATATTTAACAAAAAATCTTTCTTTTCCCTTCTCTGTATCAGCAAACTCAAGTACTCGTTAAGTCTAACATTTTACCTCACATGCTTTCGTTTGTATTTAAGCATATTTACAGAAACAATCATTCAATGTATATTACACTACACCAGCTTCTCTTACTACGCATAAATATTCAAGGTAAATGCAAGCTTATTTCAAGGCAAATACCACAAATATTGTTAGAGTTAAGGTAAATACTAGGTCCAAGAACAATGAAAACGTGGAATTTACATGATCCAAATGATAAGAGACACTAGACATCTTAATCACAGAGATTAAAATGTTTATTAATTAAACGATTGTCGACGTCACCTCGAGATGTTGAGACTTAAACCGTCTCTATCTCAGTAATCCTGTCTAAGCAGGATGATCCTCTAGCAAGGCTCAGACTGTATATCAATTGGGGGGGGGGGGGGGGGGGAGATATGGTGGGTTGTATGGGATGCAGGGAATCTTTTGTACCTGACATTGATTGAACGATTAAAACATTGTACAAATTTCGTTATCTACGTGTTTTCAGAGGTGTTTTCTAAAAATATTTCTAAAAAAATATTCAAATGCTTATATTTTCTGTAGTAATGCTAAGCTTAATGCTAATCATCAACAGTATATCCAGTTGTCCATTCATATTACTACATTATTGATCTATTATATTATGTAACTGGTAGCAACTGACAAATCAGTGTTTCTTTCTATACAATATGTGAATATCTTGTATATAGTGTGGGGATACTCCTATCGTGCTTAATCTGTTTTACCTACGACTGTTTTTTAAACTAGCATTTCCAACTTAATTTTTAGAATCTTAAAGATTAACTTTACCCGATTGTTTACTTAATTTACAGCACTAGTGAGGTAAAGTAAAGTAACAGACCATTGAGTTCAAGGAGTGAAGGAGTAAAATTTTAATGCTTTGAACGCCAACATAACAAATGTAAATGTTTAAATCAAACTAAAACCATACTATCATAGACTAACAAACACAATAGTTTACGTTTGATCTAGTATATTACTGTATTTAGTTATGCACACCAAGCTAGATGTATTGTAAGCTGTTAGGGGGTGATAGAGGGGCTGGTGTGGTTGTCAGTTAACTGGGCTTACCTGATACCTCCACTTAGGGTGGCTTGAGAGAGGGATGATTGGGCTGACTTAATAATGTTCTGTATCCAGTAAACAACAACCGCTTACAGACCACTTATCCCTTTAATATGTCATATACCTGGTGAACTATATCAAGATAAAATTAACAATAAGACTATTTTTGTTTCATGCATGTTGTGGTATTGAAACCTCATCCAGTTGAATGTTTATAGTTTTGGGTTAATTTCAACCTATTGTCTCTAAAATCGAATACTTAAAGGTATAACTAAGTCACTATACTAACTGATTTAGCAGGATTTTCCGATTAAGGTTATCCGAGTGTTTTTTTACGTGTTCAATAAACGTATTTTTCACATTCGGAGCACTAGGAAGGGGGGCTAAAATATAAAGCATTCAGTAAATTTTCATTGCTTGTAAAAGCAAAATTTAGCCTCTTTATTTGAAATATACGTCTAGTCTAATCCTTTTTTTTCATTGGAAGGACTTTATCTGTATCCACTAAGTTAATAGGATATAATACATCTAGTAGGCTAAATATAATTCATCTACTAGGGTTTTCCATGAGGTATAATTTTATTATTCTTCAATTGATAAAGTATATGAATGTTTTAAAATTGATTTCAGCCAAGATTGAAAATATGTAGTAACATTTTATCGTACTCGTACTGTATTTGGAAGCAAAGTTCGTCCCGCCATAATTTAAAATTCCCAGGGGTGCGGGTGACACTTGACACTTGATCAATACTGATTGATAGAAATAGTAGCCTATAATTGATCAACACACACACACAGGTCACAGGTCACAGGTCAAATTCTGGCAGTTTCAACCATCTTCAACTAGCTTAAAATTCATTAAAAAAATATCTTGATCAAATTTGTGGAAACTTAATCAAGTTTTACCAACTTTGAACAAAATTGTTAAAATCAAACATTTTCATATGAGTGATGTATAACACCGGTGTATTACACAATGCAATTAAATATGTGGCGTTTGTTTAGAAAGGACGTATTTCTTAACCAAGAGAGATGTGTAGTTTATTCAGCGGGGATTTCACCATTTGAACGGGAGAGTTTAACCCGGGTCCACAACTCAATTTGCCGGATGGCCGCTTGGTCCCATTCTCAGTTGTAATACCCTTAAACGTGCTTTTGTGACAGACCCTCCCTACATCGTGCCCTTGTCGTAATGTTAACCTTCTAACTTGCTGTCATACACCATATTATGGGGACGATTTGGTAAAATGTGTGGTATATTTATATCGTTGGTTTTTATTGTTATAAGGATTTTGAGAATTTCACTCAACAGATTGGCAAAAGTAATTGGGAAGCTGTTGACGATTGGAATTTTTTTTAAATAAACACGAAAAAGGTCATTGAAGTAAAATCAGTTTGGAACTAAAGTACAAATTTTCTCAATAGATTTAAAACAAGATAATTTATAATTTTTAAAACTTTTTCATTAGTAGAAGGCAATGTAATTATACTCAAGTAAATATAAACAGGATTAAAAAGTTGTTTTAAGAGTTAAAGGAAAACTGTTAATGACAAAAGTTAAAATACGAGATTCTAATAATTTCGGGATCGGCTTGATTCTCCACTTACTTAAAGTAAATACTTTTTGGAATTTTATTTTCAACCATATAATACCGCCAATTAGACCTAAAAATCTCTACAGAATTTTCTTTGAAATGTTTGTACAGAATTTGAAGTCTGAGTATTTTTCGAATGGAGTATTTTTAAATTTTCAGCCATGGTATCTATCTATCAAATTAATAAGAGAAACGTTGTGGTTATATAGTCAATGGAGAAACCCCAATAGAACACTTGGCCTGATAACCTTTAATTAGAAATTAGAACATAGGCTACTACGAACAACAACTTATTAGAAAATAAAGAAATATATAACAATCGAACTAATTCTAATACTTTTATGTAAAAGTATTAATCGGAGGGGGGAAAACCTCATAAAATGAAATCCATTTTCAATTCCGATGGATTTTGAACATATAATTTTAAAAGTAAGGTGTCTTCAGCATTGAAAATCCTCTTCGATTATTAATTTTAGCTCATGAGTCAAGTAGAGCTACGCAAGAGACCCTTTTTTGGATTATTTTAATTTACATGCAATCGCTGGGAAAAGGGGTTGCAATATTTTTATTCCGGATATTAGAGAACTGAGGAAGCAATTCACAAGGGATAACAAAGATGATGCCTCGAGGGGTTGCGAATTAGCAATGCAAATGTCCCTGGACGGCCACCTTCAATTGTTTCTTCCCTCTGCAGGATTACGATTATTGTAGCTCTCATCTTATCAACTGTGAAATAAAATAGACTTGGGTACGATTTTACTATGGGTTACGGGTTATTAAAAATCTGTATGTCATAGTACCCTAAATAAGAAAATATTTACCTATCTGCGTTCCAAATGTTATTTAGGTTATCATATTAAAAACACATGTTTTAATTGTTACCACAATCTCGTTTTAATTTAAAAAAAATTTTTGACTGTTACAATTTTACTGCTCATTTTCTTATTATACGAAGAAGGGTAGGCCTACATATGTTAGTAGGTAACATAAAATCAACTTACTAAGAATATAAGTTATAAATTATAATGTATAAGGTTAGTGAGTCGGTGGCTCAGTCGGTAGCGTCGCGGACTTCGGGACAAAGGCAGCGATGTCGTGGGTTCGGATCCTGGTCACTGCCACTAAAATTTATCAAGCCACAGTGGCTCACTCCTTGCTTTGCTGTAAACGATCCACGTACGGGTGCTTAGTCTATGTGGACGGGCAAATGCAAGGTTAAAAGAGGCCGCCAACCTCTAAAAAAAAATATTTATATATTGGAATGGAAATACCTTGCCAGTATTTTTAAAATTAATTTTGACTTTTTGGTTAAAAGTAATTGATAATTTATAATTCATAAAATTTAGTTTTACTGCCATCAAGTCTAGCAATTGAATCACAATGCAATTTATATTACCTCAGTAAATGTGAAGTAAAGAAATTAATTACATTGTTGTCAAACCTTTAGGGTGTTTAACGAAAAGTGCATCAATCAAAAATAGAAATGTAACACGGAAAAAAATATAAATTATATGTGCTGAAAAGGTTTACCA